AGAGAGAGAGAGAGAGAGAGAGAGAGAGAGAGAGAGAGAGAGAGAGAGAGAGAGAGAGAGGTTCAACTGCGGTTACTGCGCCGCCATCCATTTCCGCACTTGAATTCAAGTCAACGCTGGGAAGTGACTTGAAATTCTCGCAAAAGGAGTCTGGCAGGTTAGGTCAGGGCTGAGGTGCTTGTGGCTTCCCCATGGGTCGAGGTGCTCCCGTTCCTGGTTGGCCGGTTGTTGTTGCTTCCCCGCAGGACGCATTCTTCAAGGGCTATTCCAAGAGCTGCGCTGGCACCAAGATATTAGTTAGTGCAAATTGGCTGCATCTCGGGCTCTACGTTGTGCTGCACTTGAGGTTCAAAATTTTCAAGGGGTGTGGAACAAGGCCCTGATTCAGTCTCGATAACGTGGTAGGGGTGCGGCGGAAGGGTGCTCCTATTTATTTATTTATTTTCACTTTTAAAAGGGCAATGGCCTTGAGATATCATCATAGAAATGACCGGCCCCAGGAAATTCACAAATTCACTCAAATAGTTCCATCTGGACTTGAGCTCACATCTGTATTTCAGCAGTTCATAATAGGTGGGCCTTTTTTTTTTGTTTGTTTGGGCCATTTCTGCATTCATGTGTGTCATCCTTGCGCAGCAGCCATGCTAATCTTCTGCAAGGAACCATGCAATTTGAACACCTGTAATCCAGATTGTCAAATATCGCAGAAGAGTCAGAAGACTGAACATGATTGAGCCAAATTGAAAGCAGAAAACCAAAGTGAAATGCACACCAATGAGGAGGAAACAATACACTGAAAGTCTCTTGATAAAGAAAGTGCATCACCCGCCTACAATAATCAAAACAACAACGATGTAGCAGCCCTACTTGCAGTGTGACCGCCCCATCTACTTCCTAGTACCTCTACCGTGCTAGCCTATCCACATGCCGACTCTGTGTCCACATGTAACTCGCCCAATGCTGCTTGAAGACTGGACTTATACAGGCTTCCTTCGCGAACCTCAGGTCAGAACCATGAGTCGCCACTGCCTTCCTTCTTCCCCGGCCTCCACACCCCGCCACTGAATCGTCCTTGTGCCGCCAGCCACTCAGCCACCGCAGCTGACTCCTGTTTGGGCGCTGCACGTCTCCCTGTTACACAGTAGCGCTGCTGCAAGCAGCCAATTCCAGAAAATATCTGCAGATTCTGCACTGCGCGTCCTCCTCTCGTTTGCGCTGCTCTGGAGGCCTCATGCAGGTCCAGTAGGCAATGTATGAGCCTACTCGGACTGCGCCGAGGGCCCAGCCTCAGGGCCTGTCTCGTGATTACAGGCGCTGACCTCTGACCAGTCTAACGGGCCCTTCCCATGTCAGCCTTCACTTAGGCCCGGCATCAATTTGCCTTGGTCCGCCTTCACCTAGGGCGGGCAGGGCGAGGGGCCTGGATCCTCGCACTTCTCTATATCATTCCAGAAGGACTCTATGGACCATTTCTAGATTTATGTGTGCCACCCTTGTGCAGGGGCCATGCTAATCTTCTCTGTGTAGTTGTAGAAGCGCCGAAGAACTCTCAAGTGCAATTTCAAGTGGTTCCTTCTTAGGAAGAAGGTTAGGGCGTGGTGCAACGGTACTCGTACCGACCATTTCAAGTGCAGTTTCTAGTGGTGTGAACGACGCCCATACTCACACTGAGGTCACAGTAGCTCCATTGTAAACCACCAGTCCATCCACCCTGTTACTGTAGATTCTTTGCGTGAGCGCCACAGTCACACGACACAGCTTAGGTTTGGAGGGACTGGGTTAACAGGCTCCTGAAAGCTCGGAACGGCCAACCGGGTTTAGATCTTGCACGGGCGGCACATCTGAGAACGCACTGCCCGCTTCAGGGAATTCCCCGAATGCCCAAACACAAAGCACCCTTATTATGGCTGAAAGATAGCTTGTATACATTCGTTACGAGTGCGCGTTGTGTTCGGGGGAACATAGCGCAATGGCGCGCGACATTGCTGTGCAGTGCCGAGAGAGAGAGAGAGAGAGAGAGAGAGAGAGAGAGAGAGAGAGAGAGAGAGAGAGAGAGAGAGAGAGAGAGAGAGAGAGAGAGAGAGAGANGTGTGTGTGTGTGTGTGTGTGTGTGTGTGTGTGTGTGTGTGTGTGTGTGTGTGTTCCACTGTCGTCCCCCGCACACAATGCACCCTCATTTTCGCTGCACAGGGCCGGAAAGATAGCTTGTATATGGGGGAAGACTACGCACCCTGATCGCGAATGTATACAAGATATCTTTCTGGTCCGGTACAGCGATAGTAAGGGTGTGTTGTGCTCAGGGCGCCCATGTGAAGACATGAAAAATAGTACCAACGAGCTTAGCTCAATTGGTACACCCACAAACTGTTGAAATACAGACCCACGAATCTGGAAACGGTCAGATGATGATTCGTGCAGAAGTGAAATTCTCTAGCAAACAGATGGTTGCCACGGAATGGTCCATGAAAGTGCAGAGAGTAGGGGATATGAGTCGAAACCTCTGCGGAAGTTTCTGCAACACTGGGATAGCTTTCCAGACCTGTTTCGAGCTCAGGAACGGCAACGACAACCGCCAGAGTTGACATTTTCGTCCTTCTTTCTTTGACCGTACCACTTTGATTCGTCTTTGGGTTCTCTGCTTTTTTTTTTTTTTTTTTGAACCTTCTGTTGTAGTTTCTGTATGCTAGGCCTTTTGGTCTCTTTGGTTCCCCTCTTGTTTGCTGTTTGCTGTTTGCTGTTTGCTGTTTGCTGTACAAGTTTTTGCTTGCTGCTTCTTGTTGATAACTGGAGGACAGGCATGCTGCTTCTGTGGTTCAGTAGGGGTACTTTTGTAGTTTTGTAGTAGCGGGGCAGAATTTGGAAGTGGTGAGAACAGTGGGGTGATGCAGTGCGTCTGGGGTAGAATGTGCATAGGAGAATAGTATGTGCATGATGCATGGCCTGGTTGCGTGCATATTGCATTGCAGCAACAGATAGCTGGGTACAACACACTGGATGGGCCCTATGACCTCGGCCGATGATGTCCCGTTCAGGGGATCCCACCTACCTTCCATTTTTGTAAGGGACGCCGGGCCCGATTCCTGGCTGTGAATAAGGAAAAATGATAAAAAAGCTTAAAAAAAAAAAAAAAAAAAAAAAAAAAACCAAACAAAAAAAAAAAAAAAAAAAAAAAAAAAAAAAAAAAAAAAAAAAAAAAAAAAAAAAAAAAAAAAAAAAAAAAAAACC